TTTTTGCCACACTTTGCTTTTAGGAAACTAGAATTATGTTCTTGTTATTTTCCGCCTTCATTGAACAGCTCAGTGTAAAGGCTGATATGAGGAAAGGGAGGAAGGTGACATACAACAAAGACTGTCTGATTAGAAATGATGTGGTCTTGAATAGAGATGAAATGATTTAGAAACTTATTGATCAGCAGGAAATTAATCAAAAACTATTCAGACAATCATTTGAAGCTTTTCTCTGTTTTATATTAAGTTCAGTTTTGTTTGTGTAGCACCAAATCATAACAGTTCCCACCATGAGCAAGCACTTGGCAACAGTGGCAAGGAAAAACTTCCTGGTTTTGGCCGCCTGCCCATCGACCGGTTGGGGTTATCCTCCTCTGCCTTCTTGCAGCTTAGTCTGTAGGTCCTCTCATCTATCCATAATCGGTATTTGCGTACAATTTGTGCCAGAGGTGATTATTATTCACCAGTATCCTAGTTGGAAATAACCAATAAAACATTTAGCCAGCACAAAATTGATACGACACAGCAGATAAACATCAGCCACTGATATCCATGAATTACATCTTTTTTACCGATCATATATAGCCAGTCAATAAGCCGAATATTGGCTGATACCAATAAATCGGCCGATAAATCTGTGCATCCCTTTGTTATTTTTTGGTATTTTCTGACATTTATTAGAACGATCCAGTCTGGGACCACAGGGCCACCAGGTTTCCCCTGTCAAATAGACTTGCAAACCCAACTGAGTGTCTGAGTGATGGAACAGGATATGAGGATCTTTAGCCTTGACAGCTGTAGTGCAACACATTATGAAAGAATGTCACGTAAGCTGTATCATGGGGGTAAAGAGGAGAAGCCTAAACAGCACAGAGCAAGATTGAGTGCATTGAAGAGTCCGTGTGTCAGAGGCTGCTAGAGGCGCAACGTAGTGATGCACCTGTGTGAACATATAGGAAGCTAAAGCCCACACGGACGGACCACAGGCCTTTCAAGACTAATTAATTTGTTTATAATGAATTCCATTCCCTCCCTTCCTGTGGACAGGGACCCTGGATTCATATGTGGAGGCTGAGCACTATGCTGAGATATCGTCTGTCATTCATTTCATTACTGTCTGTCAAGTTGATCAGCCAAGACAATAAAGGCACAATTCCACTGCGGCTGCGTATGAATCATCTCAATGATGAAGACAAGTCTTTGTGTGGACCGATCCCTCTGCGTGTGTGTGTGGCATCAGTGCAGCAATCAGGACTTCTAAGTGCTTTGAAAACAAATTGGTGTCCCCGAGCCAACATCTAGTGGTTTATTTAAAGATTTGTTTATCTTTCATTTATGAATTTGCTGAATTGGAAATTAAAACTTTCCCTCATGTAACATCAAGTCTTCGTTGAGAATGCCTTAAATTGTGGAAGTCTGAGCTTGTAAGTTTCCATCAGTTATCTGCTTTAATCAGTGCCCCCTAATATGCACAGAATATTACTTTAGAAGAGCATTTCCATATCCACCGTGGAACAATAGACCAAATAACTTACCATATGAAAGATAGTGGAAGGCCTCCAAATATTTCAATGAATATCATTACCAAAGCCTAAATTTATGTCCATTACATTGCAAAGACCTTGAAGAAACTGACACATCCAAGCTGTTGGGAGACAGTTTGTATTGCTCTTAAGAGGTGATGGACAACTGAAATATTACCAAATACTGTATGTGCCTCTGATTAGTGATCTTACATTGCTTTTATGTAACATTTACATTTCATACACTAAGTTTATTTTAACCATTTTATCCACACTAATGATCAGTGTTGGAGTCATTACGTGAATAAAGGACTGTATTACACTCCACCATTTGTTTTTAAACGTAATCCCTTACTCCCGGTAGAAAGTAATTAATTACACTACTTGTTACATTACTGCTGAGTTACTCCACAACATCAGCTGAGATCACGTAATATGAACTGCATTTAATGGGCCAAACTCAGTCAAGTCACTCACTCACTAAGCTATGGCTTTAGTCCATCCTATTTGATGTGTTTATCACTAAAGCTGTGGTTATAC